TCCGCGCAGGGGAGATGACCCATCCCTGGGAAACATCATGCCGTTATGTATTTCTAATGGTTCCTTACAGGCTAGCGCTGCTGCTCGGTCCGGGAGTTTTCTTCTCATGTTGCCAAATTAACATATTTTGCATAATACAGTTGAGTGCCTTGTCTTAGATTGCAGTCTAAACTGTAAGTAAATAAGTCCCTTAAAAGTTGCCACGGATTTTGGTGTTTGTTATTTTGTTAAAAATGGCTTATGGTGTTGTTTTATTGTGTTACCAAAGCCAACCCTAAATGAAACTAGTCTAGAAAAGTTCATTGTTCTCTGTAGTTGCAGCTGTACCTGAAATAAAAATGTTATTGATGACTGAATTTTCTTGTGTGTATATTTGGTGAGCTGTATTAGAACAGGAAAAAAAAATTACTTGTATTTTCTTCGCTCTGTGCTTTGAAAACATCTATTTGATTTCACCCCCATCTGTTGTAATCAATAACCTGACCATCTTGTTTTTTATTAAATGCACTTACTCTTAATTTCATCCACCAGTGGTTTTAGAGAGAATAATGTGGAGTTACCTATATAGGTTTGACATTATAAATCACTTCTTGAGGCTGAATCGTATAGCGGTATCGATTGATCCTGATATATCACAGAAATTTACTGTCACTTCTGTTTTCAATTAAAGATACAATCAGTCAGATAATGACTTAATTGGATTTTACAGAAGATTGAGTTTTATTGCCCAGTGCTTTACGAGTTTAGTTAAGGAAGATCATTTTATCACACTTGTCAGCCTGCTCCCGCGGCTCCGTGCCCTTCTGCCTCTGCCGCCGCCGTGCCGGGGCCTGGCTCCCCGGAGGGCACGGCGGGCAGGACCGGGACGGAGGCGGGTGCGCTATGAAAATTCCTTCCCTGTCAGTCCTCGGGCCTCTACGAAAATACAGTTTCTTAATTTCTGGGAAACGCTTCGCCCCTCTCCCCCCATCCTCCCCGAGCGCAAGGGATCCCGGGGTGGGTACAGTCTGCTGGGGCTGTCTCGCAACCGTCCCGGGCGATGCTCCCGACCCGGGCTTGGTGTGGGGCACCAGGAACGGGTCTGCTCCCGTGCTCGGTGCGCCCTCCGGGAGCGCGGGAGCGAGAGGCTGTCTGGCTACCCCGGGGGAGCGTGTCCCTCGGGAAGGCTCGTGCTGGTGGAGGCTTAGGAGCCGCCTTCGCTGGCGGCCTGGGTCCGATCTGGCTGCAGGGAGCAGCCCTTGGGACAAACGAGTCAGGTTTTGCCCCGCGGTGGCACACGGGGAATGGGGGAGTGGGACAATAAAGCGATGTCCCAGTGTGGGACGTGGTTGGTGACCGGGGCGCTGGGAATAAGTTGTGGGGAGAACAACCAGCATCCTTCAGAAGAGGGGAGAAATCCTACCTGGACCACCAAGTTTTGGGGAATAATGCACATTCAGCATTGAGGGAGCTTGAGAGGAAAAGATCGCCGATGAAGGATGGCTGAGGGACACATGCCACGGCCCGCCAGGAGCGGGGAGATGCGGGGTGATCCTGGCAAGCCTAGGCCCCCTCCTGCGTCAAGGCGGCAGCTCCAGCGACCGGGTGATGGATGCCCGGCGCTGACACGTCGCCCTGGCATGTCCATGGGATCTCTTTATTTGTCCGGCGCCGGACGTTCAGCCCTTTTGACCTCTGGGGCTCCTCCGAGCAGGGCTGATGGGGGTGTGCAGGGAGCCCAGAGAGGTTTCACGGGCTTTTTTGGGTTTTGGGCGGTTTGGGTTGGTTGGTTGGTTTTTGTTTGTGTGTATGTAGTCTTTTTATTGATGCTGTTGGGTTTTGGGTTTTTTGTTTGGGTTGGCTTTTGGAGTTTTTTTGTTTGGGTGCTTTTGGGGTTTTGTGGGGGTTTTCGGGGGGGGGGAGGTAGTTTGGGATTTTTTGTTGGTTTTTTGTTTGGTGGCTTTTTGGTTTTGGTTTTGCTTTTTTTTTGCTTTTTCACCGCACGGCTAGTCCTTTTCTCAAGTATGTTTCCCAAGCTGTTTGGTAATCAGTGACCTTTATTAATGCTATTCCTCTCAAAATGCTCGTTCCTCGCCGCTCACCAGGCAGCTTTGATTGCTAGTTAGCGTGACCCTGTGCGGAATTCGCATTTTCCTCGAAGTCTTCCAAGAAAGTTTCTCGCCAGTCCAGCGCGACGCCCACCAGGCAGCCCAGCACGGCTCCTTTCCCTCCTTACTGTGTGACAGCACAGACGGTCAGAGACACCCAGAGTCACTCTCCGAGTGGGAAATCGTGGATAGTTTAATCCTCTGTCCTTTCCCTGTAACGCGGGCAATGCCTAAAAGCGGTTTGGGCGAGATGTAACTAATTCTGCCGTTCGCACTCGCGCAACGGTAACCAGATTCCCGCAAACGCCCCCGCCCCAAACGCTTACTTTAAAGCTGTGCCAACACCAGTGAACACTCCCCTCCAGCCCGACCCCCGCCCGCGATACCCTGGGAACCGCGGGGCATGCCGGCGGGCAGCCCCGGCGGCCGCAGGTGTCCACCCGGCTGAGACGCAGCTCCCGGCGGGTTGCAGCGGCTGGGAGGCAGCGCCGTATTCTCCGGACGGCTCCGCATCGAAAAGTCGCGAAACACCAGCAGATTCGGGCCGGTTTTGAGTTTCCAGCCAACCTCGCCATCTGCCCGGTCAGTGGCGTTTCCTTGGCACTTTGGCCCAGCCAGGCCCTTTCTGCTAAATGTTATTTGCAGCTTATGTTTCGCAAATTCATTCTCTTTCAGTCTATTCGTCTGGGCACTAACTGCTAACACCTCATAGTCACCTTGAAATTTCCTCTGCTATTTTCCAATTAAAAGCTTAATAGCCCTGGAAACTGGAGTTCATGTGGTGCAGTTTACCATCGCTCCTTCGTCTGAAAAGCTTTCTGCTGGGATCCCATTATGTGCTTGAATAAACCTTTTCGTCGAGCAGAAATGGGAACCGGGGTTGTCAGGTGTTGGGTTACAATGGACTTTCAGGCAGGGGACGTTTTGCTAACATAAATACGAACCTGGCCCTACGGGGAGATGTTGTCAAATACTAAGACATGGAAACCATTTCCATCAAATATAAGAAAAGGATTACAGCACTATATAAATCGGGTATTTCAGCCTAAACGCCCGGCGAGTAGCCAAGCGAGAGGGGCCCCCGGCTCCCAGCCAGCCCACCGCCGCGCCGGGGCACCTCGGCCGTGAACAGGCAGCCGCACGGCCGGCGGCGGTGACGGAGGTGCTCCGCAGGACCTCTCCTGCTAGTGGGGAAGGAACGTTTTCGTCTACCCCTCGCCGGTATTTGCATCCCGCTTCTTCGTTTTGAGGGAACGGATTCCCAAGGGCTGGTGTGCATCACCTTTTACGCGCCCCTTGTAATTTTGTGATAGTGGAGTGTTTGGGTCCACGGAGGCACCGCTTCTTTCTTTTTCTGTCCTGGGCGGGGATCCACGAGTGTGTAAGAGGCCCCGGGCGGGGGGGGGGGATGTCCTGCGAGCTTCAGGGATGTCCGGGTGCAGTGCAGCACAAAAAAGTAGATCCCGCTGGCGCTGCGGAAAGTTCCACTGTTCCCCTCATTTGCTCCGATTCACCTCCCTGCCTCGATTCGGTAAACCGATGGGGTGCTCACCCTCCTCACACCCCGCACACGGAGAAAGATTGCTCTGAATCGCACTTCCCCTAGAAGTAGAAAATTAATAAGAAAAGAGACTAGTATGTAACGTCACGCAAATACCTTCATAGCATACGCCGTGCCTTTTATTCTCTCCAACGAAATAGTTCCCGAGTTTTATATCTAATTTCCTAATTACGTAGCCTCGCTAAATGGGTTATTTCGTGTTGCCGTTACAGTGGAGAGGTGCCTGGAAGAGCAGGGGAGATCGTGAGGCAACGAAATGGGTTCGGGTCCAAGCAGCAGCTCCTGCCAGCCCGCGGACGCTGTGCCGCAGGCAGATAAATGCTTGCATTAAATTTATTTTTCCCCAGCCAATATACCTTTTTTTTCACCAATATATTATATTTGGATTCAAGGTTCTCGCTGCCACATGGGAAATATCCGTGTTTCAGCGAGAAACCTCTCTGCGTCCGGAAATACTGAAGACTACAAGCCCGCCGCCATCAGACACATCGGAGAGGTTTCAAGCAACCTGACTTGCCCTGAATTTCGCGTTCCTTTCTATGGCCATCGTTTGCGTTTAAGCAGCTATCTTGGCGCGGGACGCAGGAGAGGCAGGGACCCCGGAGAGCAGGTGCGCCTGCGGCTGCCCAGCTCCGCGGCGCGATCCCGCGGGGACGCGACCGCAACCCGACTCCGCTCAGCTGCTCTGGGCAACTCTTGGTCCCGAGAAGCTCCTGCTCCGGGCAGCTCTTCGTGGCTGAAAGTTTAGTAAAACTTTGACCTCGACCCACCCCCCTACCCCGCAGCGCTGGGCCGCAAACGGCAGCGACCATTCATCGAACGCAGTGTCCCGTGGGCTTTCGATGCCGGGCCGGTACGGAGCCCGGGGAAACCCAGTCGCCCCCCAGTTCCAGGGGCTTTCGGGCGGGAGGGGTAGTTGGTATCAGCCACACTCCCGGCCCCCTCGGGGACAAACCCCTTCGGCACAGTATGGGCATCGCCGCCGACCCCGACGGCGCGGCAGAGGGCCCCCAGCTTCCCTCCCTTCCTCTCTCCCCCTCCCTTTTTCTCTCTCTCCATCCCCCCGTCGGCGGCGTGGAAGGAGGGTGGCGGTGGGGGCGGGCGGGGGGCGGGGGCAGGCTGAGGGTCTCTGGGCTCAGCGGGGCGGCGCGGGCAGCGGCAGTGTCTCTCGGGCCGGCGGCAGCGCTCTGCCCGTCGGTGTCACCACGGCGGGCGGCGGCGGCTATCCCCGCCGGCCTGGGGCCGGAGCCGCGCCCCCCGCGAAGCTCGCGGGCAGAGCTTCCCGCCTCCTGTCCTCCAGCGCCCCGGCCTCCGCCCGCCCCCGCTGAGCCCTTCTCCGCCCCAGAGCCAGCCGGGCTCCTCCCGCGGGCATGAACGGCTATGGCTCCCCGTACCTCTATATGGGCGGCCCGGTGTCGCAGCCCCCGCGGGCTCCGCTGCAGCGAACGCCCAAGTGCGCCCGGTGCCGCAACCACGGCGTGCTGTCCTGGCTGAAGGGGCACAAGCGCTACTGCCGCTTCAAGGACTGCACCTGCGAGAAGTGCATCCTCATCATCGAGAGGCAGCGGGTGATGGCCGCGCAGGTGGCTCTCCGCCGGCAGCAGGCCAACGAGAGTCTGGAGAGCCTCCTCCCAGACTCCTTGCGCTCCCTCCCGGGGCCGCCGGGCAGCGCCGAGCCCCCCACGCCGCCGCCGGGCCCGCCACCCTGCGCGGCACCGCCGCGGGCCCCCGCCGAGCTGGCCGCCGCCGCCGCCCTGCGCTGGGCCACCGAGCCGCCCCCTGCGCTCCCGGGGCCGCTCCCCAAGGCAGGTGAGGCCGGGCCGGGCAGGGCGCCGCGGTACCGGGGCAGAAGGGAAAGGGAGGGCCGGGACAGACCCCGACGGACGGGTCTTGAGGGGTGGGGCCGGGACGAAGAAAGGCGAGGGCTTTCCCTTCCTCCGGACGGGCGCCGTGGGAAGGGAATGGAGAGGCAACTCGGCGGGTGCACTTTGTCCCTCTATAAAAAGCAAGGAGCCGCTAGGTGCCCGGCCAGGATCGCGGCCGCCGAGACCAGCGGAGGGGGCCGGCGAACGTCGCCGCTGCCAACCGGCTCACCGACGTGCTGCTTTTGATCCCACGTGGATCACAACCGCACGTCCTTCTGCCGCTCCCGGTCCCCTTAGCCGGCTGGAGTCGCTCCCCGGCTTCCCCCACCCCGGACGTCGGGGCTGCGGGGCCTCGTCCAGGACAAAACCTCTAAAGAGTGCCTCGGACCAAAAGCGGCACCGGGAGCCAGAGGATTTCTGTGGAGCAAGGAGGACCGGAAGAAGTGAGGTAGTGGTAGGGGATGAACCGGGCAACCCGGTCCTCCTGCGCTCCGGGTCGCGTCTGGGGCGGCTTGTGGCAGGTCGGGGTTGCTGAAACCACCACCCGCAACCGGCACTTTGTGAGTGCGACCTGTCGGTAACACACACTTCTGGAAGCAAAACTAACGCTCGGGAACTGCTGTCCCATTCCCTGCCCGGTGTCTGAGCGGGAGCCGACAGTCTTTCACGACGGAGATACCCGTCGGACAGGCCGCTGGCAGCCCAAAGCGCTCCGCAGACAAGCGGAGACTGACGAAATTTTACCCGGTGCCCCGGGAGGGAAATGGCGAACCCTGAGCTCCCGCCCACGGGCTGCCGTGTGCGGTATGGAGCCATCCCGGCCACGGAGGCGTCCGTGGGGGCCCCGACACAGGGCTTTGTCCTTCAACACTGGAGGAGACGCAACACCGGCCCCGAGGCGGCGGCACGGCTGAGTCCGTCAGCGTGGCGAGGATGCCGATGGTTTGGGACCCGCTTCTTCTTCTGCGGCCCTTGGCACCGCCTGCCTGCCCTCCGGCCCCCCTGTCCCCTGCACCTCCGCCTGGTCCCGTTCCCCTGGACCGGGCTTTGGGGGTCTTTGCCCAAATTTCCGACTGGCCGTAGCCTCCTACCACCTCGGAGTCTTTTCACCACCCGCATCCGCGGCGGCGCTTCGCCGGGGCCTCCTCCCTGCGTAGAAGTGGGGGCGGTCCAGCCAAGGGACTGGGAAGGGAAGGGGATAAAAAGCCTCCTTGGCTTCTTCCAGAAAGTACAAGTTCCTGTCCGCCAGCACGATATAAATCTGACGGATAGGAACGGTATTTACTTGCACGCCCAACTTTCCTTCCCCTTGATATATGAACTTCCCAGTTTAAAAGATTACAGTAATCACGGAGGAGAGTGTAAATCGAATCTGATAGCAATAACTTTTGGGGAAGGTCAGGCTCAAGTGAAATGTTACCAAGCAACAGGCATTTTGTTTGCAAAATACAATCAAAGCGTATTGATGAGAAATTCTTCCTTGCCAGCCAGTCAGCACTTTCTGCTATACGGAAGAAAAAAAAAGCCAACAAAACAAAAACAAAAACCCAAACATAACGGAGGAGATCTCCATAAATCAAGGCCCTCAGTGCCGCGCCTGCCCCCGCCCCCTCCCGCGGTGAGGCCGGGATGAGGGGACTTGGGCACCCGGCACCGCCGGGGAGCCGTCCTGGTCACCTGCGTGGTTCCCGGTCCCCGACTGTTACAGAGGGTTTTTTCCCCCGCTTTTTATGAACATGTGGATGCGTGACAGCAAAGTGGAAAATGGTTCCTCCTGTCACCACACAACTTGTTTATTTCCAACTATCCTGCATGTTCTGTGCGGCAGGGCTTTCACTTCCTTCTCCCCACTATCTCAATTAAAATCGTCGTCAGAACAGGGGATGTAATTATTTGTTCCCCTTGTTCGTCCCGTCTCTAACATACACACAAACATACACCCACACGCACCCCTTCCACCGCGAGGACATTAATCTCCTGAAAGGTGTTTTTCACTACGGATGGGAAATTTCCCGACGTACGGTAGAATCAGATCCCTCTGCTTTTATTCCTGCCAGAATCGGTCATTTCGATGAGACAGTTGTGAAGTTCTGTTCTGTGCAAATGATGCACATAGAAACTACCCCTGTTGCACCTGCCTCTGCTAACCTGAGATGATCCCTCCTCCTGATACCGTGCTCATGAACTTTCCTCGCCCACGTGAGCACATTTCTCTTAGTAGTAGTTATCCAGGCTTGTAAACAATATAATGCTATATTGGGTCGTCTCTTATTAGCAGAGCCAGCTTCTTAATGCAGCACAGCTGTCTCTGTGTTAGAGAAAAGTGATTAATCTCCTACAAAGTACCTTAGACCTTTGAAGATAGGGATGAAAGTCTGAAGTAATTTAAAAACTCCGACAACCTAAACTAAACTAACATCCCCTTTCCTCCAAACAGATAGCAAAACAAAAAAACCACAACCCAACCAACAAAAAATCCCCCCCAAACAAACAAACCAATAAAAACCCCACCAAAAACCAGCGACCTTAACTTTTCATGTTTTATGCTTGTTCTGGTATAGTCCTTTCTATTAATACAAATAAGGACAACAGCAAATTCTTTTGGGATCCAAGAAAATCTGTCCTAACAATCAAAGAACAAGCTGTTTTAACAGGGAGTCAGCAGTGGGAATATCGAGGAAACAAATTTGTTCCAAAGTATTAGACCAAGTTTTCCAGACAAGTTATTGAATTGAGAACAGCTTCTCTCATCCATATTACTTTTATTTGGCGTCTTTACAAGATTTGACTCACGATCCTTAATGTATAAATAGTCAAGGAGAATTGGGGTATATATTGCTCCAAATTTGTAGCAGCTTTATTTATTAATTTGTATTTTACTGTAAATGCATGCATGATTCTCCCACAGTTCTGTGTTTCATGTGTATCTGTATTTGCACTGCATCTCTGTAGATCTGAGTTTGTATGTGCCTCTGCAAACATATTATTTTATGAATACTTTCCATCGTTTATATCAATAGGAAAACAGTTCCCCTAATTTTCTCCGGGATCACAAAGTGAATACTTGAATGCAGGCAATTTGAAATAGAAGGTGTTGGGGGCAAAAAACCCCAACACACACGGACACACGCACATACACATACACACACACACACACACAGACACACAGAGAGAGAAAAAAGTACAAGCCCCAAAACCAAAGCCACAGAAACATACAAAACCGCCTAAACAAAACCAAAAACCTCACCAAAATCCAGAACAGCCCCCCCAAAAAAACCAATCCGAACCAAACCAACCCACCACCATCAACAAAAAAACCCACAGCAAAAACTCTCAAACCCCAAGCAGAACAAAACACAACACCCAAACCCCACAGACGAAGAATATCCCAGAACGAGATTTCTTTCTTGAAGCCCAGAACATCCTTATGTGAAGCTTACAAGTTATGCAAAAAAAAAAAAAAAAAGCTTTGGTGAAGAGCAGTGGGTTGTACTTTCTAAATACAAAATTATTTTTGTACCTGAAAATATAAACACGTGCTATTAATACACATATGCAATATTCCTACAATTCAGTGCCCACACAAGGACACTTATAATGTGTCTTCCCTAATTTTTGTTTATTTGACGATTGCTATTTTGTGCCAGTTTTAAACAAACGAAAATCGCGGTCGCGGCTGTTCCCGTGAAGGGTTGGGGACAGTCCCCGGAGCGCGCCTTCCACCTGGCCCTCTCCGCGCCCTCAGCGTGTGGCGGACAAGGAGTGTTCCCATGGGGAAAATGCAGTTGGAACACAGCCTGACAGACAGGGAAGCACCGGGGCCGGCCAGGTCGGCGGGAGCTGCCATGCGACCGGCCCCAGCTCCGGGACAAAGCCTCCTGACACCGGCATCCAGAAATGCTCTCAAAAAGGCAGAGGGGAAAAATACAACAGCGTCCATGCTCAGTGTTAGCCAACGGAGCGTAATTCTCCATGCGTTAATAACAGCATTCCGATTTAAATCACCGAAATCTCGTTTTCCAGGTCTGTCCCTGTAAGTCTAACAGCCCTCTAAGATGCGCCGCTATAATCTGTGCTGTACGAGGAGACTGTCCTTGTGCAAAGGCTAAGAATCGGGCTCTGCGCGGTCTCGTGATGATAAAGATGCAAACTTCAGTGGGATGAGTTTTCAGAATTTGGAGAAAATTTTTTAGACAAGCCTCATAAGGATATTTTTAAGAGTACTGAAAATTGAACAAATCTGCAATATCTTGAAAATAATATTTTGTAAGGAACGGGGAATGTATTAGAGAGATCTTATCTGATCTAATTTTTTTTTTTTTATAAAGCAGGTATTTTCTAGTTGTACTTGTTCTTCTGCCACAGAGATACACTGTAAAAATGCGGTAGTTCCGAAATACGGTCTACTTGCATTCAGTTAATTTTGTAATATTGTGTACTACAGTGAAACCTATTGATGTGGAAATTAGGGCTATCATCTCCCCTAACAGCCTCTCTAACTCTGTTAAGACAGGAACCGGTAGTTAGATGTCCTCAGACTGCTCTCTAAGTCTTCAGTGTATAAACTGTGCATTCACTAAGATGTGAATCACTCTTAGTGCCCCTTCTTTTGCAACAAATGCGTAATTATGAACACGTGAAGGGATTAGGAGGGGAAGGTAGTGTGAGCCTCACGTTTTCTCAAATGACGGATGAGCTATGCCGGCATTTTACTTTCTCCTCAAAAGGATGCATGTTACCAGTTTGCCATTGGCAAACAATTCCTGCATTCCACTTTGGCCGCTAAGGCAAGACTGACGCACTGAGCGTATGAGAGAGGATACATACATTGCCTTCTCTGTAATGTAGCAACGTGTAAAGTTATGCTTCTCTGTTTGCATTGGACAAAGAGCATAACCAATATAAAAACAGGTACCAAAACCAGGTTATCCTGCTAAAAGAGATCTTCATTAGGGCGACTGCATTCCTCAGCTACATGCTTATCTTCCACATCCCAAACTACCAGCATCCCACAGCTTTGTAGGATGACCCATCATTTCTGCCAGGTACCACAATCCTCACGAGGAGAACTTTTTGGCATACTCACACTGTTAGGCTGTGCTCTGCCAGGATCTCATTTATAGCTCCCATTCTGGTGAGCAGAGCGGCTTCTGGCTCAGCGTGGGCTTGCTCAGACCTTGACTTCTTTCTCTCTCAAGATGGGAAATTGCATTAATAGACTTTGTCTCAAGCTGATCTGTGAAACACTAAACTTATTCCACTGCATGGGGAGATGCTCTGCCTGTTAATGGGGTGAGAGAGAAGCAGGAGATGGCGAGCAGTAAGGCTAAGGTTCTGGCATACCTCTAACTGGTTCCATCTCACTTGGGCAGGGATGTTCATCAGCACATATTAGGAACCTTAGCTTGCTTCTTATGGCTTCTTTATCTAGTTGGGCTGTTAACCAGGGACTTGGGAAACCAAGAAAATAGTTGCATTGGGGGTTTTTTTTGCAGACAGTTTTTCGCATATGTGTGTTCAAAAGCACTGCCCTGTGCAGTTAAATTAGGCTCTGTCAGCTGCAGCTTGGACAATGATCCTTTCCCCATGCATTGATGCTTCTCAAGGATACCATCATTGTGCTCTATGAGGAAGGCCAGCAGAACTGTGTTCTTGAGAAATAACCGTGAACAATCTCAAGCAATTCTATCCACTCCCTTGTGCATAGGCTGTGAAAGCACTGTCCACCTTTCTTCTTGTTGACAACAATTCTATACTCATGTCAGGCATTACCAAAGTGACCAGAGATGTGGGGCGTCCCCATTTCTAAATATCTACCTGGAGACAGCATGGTCAATGGGCTTGTTTTCAGCCCTGTACTCAGCTCTTATCCTTCTTAGTTTAGCACACAAAAAGCAAGATACCAGGAACAAGCGCTAAGAGAGTTTGTGGGGTCTCTCTCCTTGGAATTATTTAAAACTCATCTAAGCAGGGACATGAGCAACCTGCTCTATATTTTAGGTTGCTTTTGCTTTGAACAGGGTATTGGACCAAATGCCTTCCAGAGGTCCTTCTCAAACCAGATTTTTCTAGAATCTGTGCTGTGGGAGGAACCAATTTCTGCAGAGCCAGAACTTGAATACACTGATTTATTTGCAGACTTTTTATACCTTCAACCAGTAGTCATGATGAAGTGGTTCCACCAATGCTATTGGACTTGCAGAGGGAATTTTGGTCTCCCTAAGTGCCCTCTTCAGCTCACAGACAGTGGGATTGTGCTAGTGAGGAATTATGATGTGAAAGTGCTCAGGTTCCTCTGAGAAAGCTTGCACTTGGCTGGTGTGTTGCTGCCATGTAATCAGTGAGAGACGACTGATACAGTGTATTTGATGCAGCAGAAAAATGACTACAGCTTCTTTCCTTGCACATGTGAAAACGTGACAGATACCTATAAGGCCTAGACCAGGTAACATTATTCTTTTGCAGTTTTATCCTCATGAGATGTTGCAAAGATACCTTAATTTTTACAGTATCTCTGTGAAAAATGCACTTCCTCCCCCCCATTCTTCTTTGTTCACTTTAAGAAGACACTATCCTCAAATTTCTGTAAAAGCTTTTGGCTTCAGTTTTTTATTAACTTCTCTGAATTCTCTTTGCAGACATGAATGAGGAGAGGTTGGGTGATGCCAGTGGAGCAGACAATGCTGAGACCTACAGCGACAAAGACACAGACCAAAGGAGTTCCCCAGATGTGACTAAAGCCAAAAGCTGTTTCACCCCTGAAAGCCCTGAAATTGTTTCAGTGGATGAGGTTGGTTATGCAGTTCAGAAAAATGGTGGGAGCACAGAGAATCATCCAGACAGCCCCAAGTACCACCCAGAGCAGAACCACCTCCTGATAGAAGGTCCTTCTGGGACAGTTTCTTTACCCTTCAGTTTGAAAGCAAACAGACCCCCGCTTGAAGTCTTGAAAAAGATCTTCCCTAATCAAAAGCCAACTGTGCTAGAGTTGATCCTGAAGGGGTGTGGTGGTGATCTGGTGAGTGCTGTGGAGGTTCTCCTGTCTAGTCGGTCTTCAGTGGCCAGTGGGGAGAGAACTTCTGCAGAATCTGATGGTCTTGTTTTGCCTTCCAACGGGCACATTTTTGAACACACGCTGAGTTCCTACCCTATTTCATCCTCCAAGTGGTCTGTGGGCTCAGCATTTAGGGTTCCTGACACACTAAGGTTCTCTGCTGATTCCAGTAATGTCATGCCAAATCCTTTGGCTGTACCTCTGCAACACCCTTTCCCTCAACCACCACGCTACCCGCTGATGTTGAGGAACACTTTGGCAAGAAATCAGTCCAGCCCGTTCCTGCCCAATGATGTCACTCTGTGGAACACCATGACACTGCAGCAGCAGTACCAGCTGCGGTCCCAGTATGTCAGTCCTTTCTCTAGCAACACAACCACAGTTTTCCGAAGCTCACCTGTACTTCCTTCCCGCTCGTCAGAGGATCCTAGGATCTCAATTCCTGATGATGGGTGTCCTATTGTGTCTAAGCAACCAATTTACACAGAAGATGAATATGAGGAAAGGTCTGATTCTTCAGACTCAAGAATACTCAACACATCTTCTTAAACTGACATTTGACGTGTGATAGCTAAGTGATACTCACAGTGCAGCTGAACTACTGGCCCCTAAGAGGAGGGAACATACTCTATGAAACTCTTGCAATTGTTTTAAAAAGTGACTTTGCTTGGTATTATACTATAGCAATAAAGACATAACTTTTTTTAATTTCTTGCACTTCACTGGATAATGCCAAATAGCAATACTCTGGCTTTAGTGCTGAGTCTGTGTTACAAAGGAAGACTTATGGCTATCGGTTATGGGACTCTGGAAGGCTCATAACGGAAACAGAAGCCCAAGGTCTACTTTGTTCCTTAACTCAGAAAAATGGGGATGTTAAACTAGAATACTTGAATGCTGTTTTATAAGAGAGAACTCCTCAGGACATAAGAAATCAAATAAACATAATTCAGTTGCAAATGGACTAAAACAAGGAACTTATAATCTCACGCCAGTGATCACTGTTGCAGTGAAAGAAAAAGAAATATGCACACACAACTAACATGAGCTCCTTCTGTGCCGTTTGAGCTTGGACACTTTTCAGAGAAATGTTATTAAGAGTTATTCTTTTCCCATGGCTAGGTCGAAATGTGTAATGTCAGTGTAAAACCAATTACAGCTGTGAATTGCATGAAGTGTATTGTGAAATGAACACCAGATTAAGCATTGTCAGGTTAATGTAGCATGCTAAGGACTCTAGAAAAATAAACTAAGATCATGATCTTGGTTTATGTCATTTATACTGCGCAAATACATTCTGAAGACAGAGAGCTGATTAATCCTCAGTCAGGGTTAAAATGTCCAGCTCCAGCAACTGCAGTCGAGGGAAGCCTCTTTTTCCAAGTCTGGGTTCTGCTTCCCTGCCTAGTAGCTTGCAACTGAGATTAGGCAAATGTTGTCATCAGGGAAGCTGAGGTCTTGAGTATGTACTGCAGACACTTCCAAGCTCAGCTAAGTAGAGCTTGCTACAGTCACAGAAAGTAGAAAACAAAAGGCTCTCCCAGTGCTTCAGAAGCATCTTTTTTTTCCTATACTGTAGAAGTAGAAAGAAAAGGAAATAGAATGTAATAGCAGGCCTTTCTTTAAAATAATATTTAGCCAAATGGCAACTTCCCTAAATGTAGAAAAGTATTGATTTGAACAATTTATTGCATGATTGCATGCATTGATTACACTGCATATCTTATGTGTGTCTGAGTAACATTAGGAATTGCTTCTGATGAGGAATGCCACTAAGTTAACTGTTCACTTGAAGTTTGTTAAGGTTCTAGTGCCATTTTTTCAACTGCTCACAACTGACAACGTATGCTTGACAAGTGACTTGTACAAAACACAGCTCTGAATGCAGATGAAATGACTGTCAGGCCTTCAGGTGTATGGATACTTCGAAAAAGTGTTGAGGCTGCCCTGAAGTTGAACCCTAAAGCAGATGCGCTTTAAAACTGTTATACATATATCAGGCATGTTATCCAGTGTCATTGTTGATATGAATACCTGTGTTCTCATTTGGCATTTCTTGTTTCACAAGTCTCATGCACACAGTGAATCTTTCATTTCATCAAGGTACTGAACACGCACAAAAAGGAGAATAAAATGATGATTTTATTTTCCTTAGGGGATAAATTCACAGAAAGATACTTTTTCTTGCATAGCTTTCCAAGCTCTTCAGAAAAGCATTTTATTGGTAATGCTACAGAGCAAAGACTTAAAAGCAGGGGAAGGGGGGGAAAAAAATAGATTATTTTATGGAAGTGTAAATGTGAAAGTGTCCAAAATTTTCCTAAATGCAGAATTTCGATTGTGTCCTGACAGATTGCCTGCATTCACATGGAACTCATAAACAAATTCATCTTACAGCTACTCCAGAGAGAAAAGCAATATGCAAAATATATTTGATCTTGCAAACAGAAAGGCATGAGGTAGTGAAATGCTGTGCTACAAGACCGCAGAGAAATTAAGTGTCAAAGGCTAGATAAGAGCAGTTAGGTCCAGGAGCTCTGATTTTGAGCAGATTTCCTTCCTGCAGAAACCTTTGTATAGGCATCCCTGTATATTAAATGAAATCTGCATGGGTTTTAGTTTGGGGGTTTTTTGTGTTTTGTTTTTTTGTTTGTTTTGCTACAGAGGTTGAATCATCTTCAGCAGAAAGATCGAACAGTGGCACCTGAGACAGCTCATAAACACTATGGCCTGGAGGTTTTCAGAGAACAGAATTTTGGCATCTTGGAACTGTGACACATCTTTCAAAGAAAGCTGACCATGGCTGAAGTGAACTATTATCACACTTGTGCTGAAAAATGCAGATTCGGTGGTATGATTTTTAAAAATTTTATCTCTTTTGATAAGTTGTGTTCTGAAAAAGGAAACAAGTTAAAATGATCCTTGTCTGGTATTATAAAATAACTCACAAATACTTTTTTTTTAAATAAAGTAAATGTATCTGTTCAAAATAAGAAATGCAAGTTCTCATGTTGAACAATAATTTTTGTTTGGTCACGCAATAAAATATTGCTAAAATAGCTAAAATGGTATTCAGAAGATTAATTTTTTAAAAAATACCAATTGGCCTGCAGTGGTATTTTAGAGATGTTGCTTTGCTCACCCAGCTGTATTTTCCAGGCTGGCACTACAGGCAACTACGGTTTTTAAGGATCCCTTGGTGTGTTGGCAGGAACTTTTTCTGCCCACACAATGCTGGGACCTGTTCCGCAGACCTCTGCTGTGCTGGTGGGGGCTGCCCACCCACTCCCACCCTCTCAGAGTGGGCAACCGCGGGGTGAGGGAGCCCCCTTTCCGCTGGAGCCCTGTGTGCCCCATCGTCAGGGCCCACAGTGGCCACCCCAGAACTGCACTCTGGCTCAGGCCGTGCCTTCACCGAGGACAGTGACAGCCGTGTCACCGCAGCTGGCAGCGGCGGGGCTGGTCCTGAGCCTGTGGAGCACCTGCTGGGTACAGCATCCCGAGATTTCCACGCCTCCGGGGTCCGGGGGAAGGTCTTCGGGTGGGGCACCCACACCTTGCGTTTCCCAGCTCCATCTTGTGGTGAACAAGGGTAACCTCGTGACTGAGCAAATCGTGCTGAGGAAGGGAGGACGTGGGGGTGAAGCTCAAGGCATTGATGCCCAGAAGCCTCCTGAGGACAAAAAGAATTCAAGCATCAAGAAAGATGGTTTGAGCCTGCTGAGGTCTCTGCTGGAGCCCAGGATCCAAAGAGGTGTTGGGGTATTTTTGTTTGGTTTGGGTTTTTCTGTTTGTTTGGTTGGTTGTTTTTTGTTTTTGTTTTTGTTTTGTTTTGTTTTGTGTGGGTTTTGTTTTGTTTTTTGTTTTTTCTTTTGGGTCTTTTTTGGGTGCTAGAGCAGCTGTGGCATTCTTGGAGCAAGAGATCTTCAGCCTCTGCACAGCTCCTGCTCCTGGCTGAGTAGCCACCTGGGAGCCTCTCTGGGGTGCCCTGGGACTGCTTTTTCTCCTGTCAGATGGGTGAATTCATTGTCTACTCTCTGGGCAATGCCCAGAGCTCACTCTCTCTGCTCGTGGCTCTGCTTGTCCAGGTCCCAGGCCCACCAGAGACCGGTGCGGTGGGCTCTACAGAGGCTGGTTGCTGCCCCAGAGGCACACTGCTAAAACCCCCTAGTTAACCTCTAGATGTGACAACCTGATTAAGGGCCGACAGTGATGTAAACAATAACAATGCCATGGAGAGCCCTAATGCGATGTCCACATTCTCTGGTAGCTCACATAACTGTAGACAAGGGAATAGGCAGAACGGGAGCAGGGGTAAGAAATGGGGATGTCCTGCCCAAAACTATCCCCTGCCTTGCCCTTGCTGGTGGTTGTGATGCTTCCCTGGGGGTCCCTGACTTGCCCTTCTTATGGGTCTGAAGGGCCACCTCTGCAACATTTGTTGTATGCTTGGTGAACAGGCTCACCTCACATTTGTGCTGACATCTTTGAAAAATGACTTTGATTCTCTCAGTATACTGTTTCAGTGATTCATTCTTTATGTGCATTTACTCAGCGGATGTGAGTGGGGAAATAAGATTGATGCTAAATTTATATGTTAATTTTAATATTGAAGCTATCCTGTATTTGAAGAATAAGATCAATTCTTCAATTTCATTTCTTACGTGATATTGCATATTGTCATTACTGGAAAATAAAATTATTTCTGAATGCATACTATCTAAACTTCAATTTTAGTGGACATATAACTCTGAAGCATCATTCTTCTCCCTTCCCTTTAATAAATATCTTAATACAGTATTTTAACATTCTTACAGTAGTCTGCCATGGGAAGATAACACCCTAAATGGTGTTTTGTTAATGTGCTCCCTGCAGCATTCTGCACTGTCACAGGCAGATTTCATGCATGACTCAGCAACTCCCTGCAGGCTGTTGCATGCCTGCTGCAACAGGAATCTTGGTTAATAATTGTGACTCTCACTAGAGATTAATTTCAATGATTTCCACAATAGCAGCAGTGCTTGAGAGCCATAGCCACCGCTAGTTGCCAAGCATGCCTGCATACAGGCTGAATCCTGACCTTAAGTGAAGGATCAAACCCTTAGATCACTATCAGTAACCAGATCATGTAGAGGATAGAATCATATGTACAGAAAGATTTGGCATTTATGGAGTGAGATGTACTTTAAGGAGGTCTACTGCCAGAGACCAGGCTTTCCTGAAGCCGCAACAGAAAAAAGTATTTACAGCACCTTGGGAGTGTGGTTTGGTACTTTATGTCTTTGCAAGCTGTGCAGGAGATTAAACTGAGATAGATAGCAGGAACCTTTGCAAGATTACATCCTTGCTTTACCCTCTAACCCAAGGAAGATTTTCCCCTCTCCTTAAGGGATAAAGTTAAGTGCTACAAGGATTTAATTGCTTTTATCTGAAAATTCTTAAAAAGCGTCAGTGCCCTGTAAATAGGAGAGCAGAACATAGTATTTACCAGAGCATATAGTATAAGATTTTGTTTCTAATTTTTTCTCTCTGAGAGAGAGGCTATAGCTTTTCAACGGCTGAACTGTGACTGCCTTCAGGAAGAAAGTTCCCATGAAAAGCTCAGGACAATTCTGAGATAACCCTGAGCAAGCCACTGTCACAAAAAAATGTTGTGAGACCTAAGGTAAAGACTGCTTGGGTTCTTTCCATCTGTCATATTTCTGAGTCTATAGACTTCATACATTCCAACTTTCTTGTCTGCAACACCTAGACAAAACCAGAAATCTTGTGATAATATTGTACTAATTACCTTTCTTTTCCCTAAAGGCAGTAAATACATGAGTCAGCAAAAGGTTGAGTAACAGTGAGAAAGCAGAATTTCAGACACAATGAAGTCTATTCCTTCTTCCAAGTCTCGTGTAGCTCAGGCAGGGAGGTGGGCAGGCTCAGGAGCAGCTGCTCTCTCCAAGGAAGGTGAGCACATCTGACACGTCTGCCAGCAGTACACATCTCAGCTTGGGGGCTGCAGCCCCCTCAAGAGTGGGTATGTGTCACAGAAGAAAGGCAGTGTGAGAGTGAGCGGTGTGGCAGCAGCATGATGGTGAAGGCACTTGTGGTAGCTGATAAAAACTTTCCCTCTTTGTTGCATGCAGCGAAGCTCAAACCCATTTTCGGAAACATCTTTCTTTGGAGCGCAGTCCCTCTGCCTTGCCTGCACATTGCTGAGATTCCTTCTTGTCACAGTAAATATAAACCAGAAAGAGTGAGATAAAATTTGCTATATACAGAAAAATATAAAAGAGACATCGAAATACTCAGAAATACAGAGAGACATGCTTCCTTGCTACTTGTAAAATGTTGATGTTTTTGTCATTTATAAAGGCTACATGATTGATGTGACAAGGGATGCAGAAGCAATCCTAATGGAGTATTGTACCTGAGAGAGTGCTGCAATAAAAATGTAGGTTTCTGTTTCTCAGCCTCTGCATGTTAATCTCTTGACTCACTGACTAGGAACAGGAGAGTGCTCAAAGCTGTTCCCATTGCACAGCTGGCAGCTTCCGTGGTAACAGAAATCAGTGGGTTTTCACCTTGAACCTGCCTTTTTCCTTAACAAAGTAAGGGCAAGGCTTAATGTTTAGTACAGCTACATATTATACATATTGAAAAGCAACATTTTCTCAAGAGGAACAATTCCTAAACTACAGAAAATTATTCTGCATGGCTCCACACTTACTGCAAAACCCTTTTCAGGAAACTTTAATACCCCTCATAGA